ACATTAACAAAAACTTTCATAAAAGCAAAAGTAATTAAGTAATTACAAGTAATTAAGTCAGTGCAATTTGCCAAGATAGAAAAATGGATATATAAAACAAAATTGAGATCCTAGAAAAACATTCATATATCTATGAGTACTTGATACATGATTAGATGTGTAGTGAGAAAAAAATAGTCTATCCCATAAACACTAATGCAATTGATTATTACATGCAGAAAAAATTAACGTGGCTTCCTACCTCACACTATACTCAATTCCAGATAGGTTAAGAACAAAAATGTAAAGGCAAAACTGTAAAATTTTTAGAATATCTTTTTAACTTCAAGGGAAAAGGACTTCTTAAATAAGGCACAAAGCATAAATTATATCACAAATAATGATTGGTAGATTTGCTGCATTCAAATTTAGAGTTTCTTTTAATTAAAAGATCATAAAGAAAATAAATTGATAAGGCATAATCTGTGAGTTGATATCTTGATAAAATATTTAAGAAACTTCTTAAAATTTTAAATAGAAAGTTTAAAGAACTTCCAAACAGTAATAAGAAAAAGACAAACAACCTAACAGAAAAAAATGTAAAAATAGAAAAAAAGAAGGAAACCCGCTTTTAAACATGATGAGATTCTGGTTAATACTCACTGAGTTGACAAAACTTGAAAGGCCTTCGCCAAGCTGTATTGTCAATAGGAACCTTTATACATCACACATAAGAGTATAAATTGGTACAATCACTTCATGTAACAATTTGGTATTTTCTAGGAAAATCAAAGATATACATACTGAAATCCCAGCAATTTTACTCAGTATGTATACTAGAGAAACTTCTGTATTTTTATACCAGCAGATATATTCATGAATACTCATAATAGCATTCTTCAAAGATGAAATTTATTGAGATAAAATTTACGTATAATAAAATGCTCTAATTGTAAGTATATAGTTGCAAGTTTGACAAATGTTCACACCACTGTAACTACCACCACAATCAAGATATAACATTTTCTAACACTCCACAAAAGTCCCTCTTTCTCCTCTGCAGGAGAACCCTTCTCCCACTGTCAATATATTTTTCCTTTTCTAGGATTTCATATAAATGGAATAATAAACTATGCAATCATTTGTATCTGGCTTCTTTCCCTTGTCATGACACATTTGAGATTCATTGTGTACATGTTGTTGTTTGGATCAGTATTTTCTTGCTTTTTGTTGCTGAGTAGTAGTCTGTTATAAAGGTATGTCAAGAATTGCTTATATATTCCCTAGTTGTTGGGCATTTGGATTGTTTCCAGTTCTTGGCTATTAGAAATAAAAAAGCTGCCGTGCAAATTCAGGTACAGGTATTTTTATTTCTCTTGTGTAAATTCCTAGGAGTAGAATTATTAAGTCATATACGAAGTATATATTTAACATCTAAAAGATGTAAAACTGTTTTCCAAAGTGGCTCCACTATTTTATGTTCCCACTGGCAATATATGATGGCTATAGTTCATAGCAGCATTATTCATAACAGTAAAAATAGAAAGAACCCAGGTGTTTACTGTCAGAAGAATGAATACCTTGTAGTATATTCATTCAAAACAATGCCACAGACAGTTAAATTAACTATAGCTATATGCAGCAACATGACTAAAACATATTAAACAAAAAGGCAAGTCATAGATGAATATATATAGCATATTACATATATGTACACATTTCTAAAATATGCTAAATGAAACAATGTTACTGAGGAATATGTACATCCTGGAAAGGCTGTAAGATAAAGCAAAGAAGTGATAAACGCAAAATTCATGATAGTGGTTAACCTCTCAGAAAGGAATATGTAGGGATGAGAAGAGATAGGGTGCTTCAAAGATATTGGTAATATTAATATCCTTAACCTGCATGATAGATGCATGGGTGTTTGTTTATTTTTATTATTCTTTAACTGACACCACACATTTTACATATGCTTATATATGATAAAGCTTTATAACAAAAATTTAAAAAGAAAATAAAGGTAGTTGATTTTTTTTAGCCTTACTCTCTGGCTTTCTTACCAAAAAAAGATTGACAGGCATTTGTCCTATACTGTAATGTATTTTCCGTGTTTTTTTAAAGTTTATTTATTCATTTTGAGAGAGAGAGAGAGAGAGAGAACGCGCGCATGAGTGACACGGCGCAGAGCCTGATGCAGGGTTTGAACCCATGAACTGTGAGATCATGACCTGAGCCTCATGACCAAGAGTCAGAGGCTCAACCAACTGAGCTACCTAGGTGCCCCTGTAATGTTTTTTCCTAAGTCTACTTGGTATTCTATATACTTATAATGAGAGATTGCAGTTGTAGTACTGGGATAATTCTGGAATGCATTTCTATCTCTGGGAGTGAGAATTTAGATGTCTGACTGCCAGCAATATTAATGGCAGTAGTTAAATTCATATATCCTTGTTTATGGAGATGAGAATATAGCCCACTTGATAACAAAAATGATTGAGTAGAATTTATTCTTTCTTAAAATTATGCCAGGGAAGGATATATCCTCTATTTATCTCCTTTCCAATTGAATTATTTAAAACTAAGGTTTAAAAACCACCATAAAATGACCTGATAGTCAAATATAAAGAATACATCATTAATTCTAGAAAGCTTAGCTGGTCACTTTTTGGATAAGAAGATTGTAATATTGACAGCAAAAATTTCTCTATTTCTCTATCTTGATTATATCGTAGGAATAGAAATTCAAGAAATGGAAAATTACGTAAGATGAAAAATGTCAGTGAGTAAAATGGAAACATGGCAAGAGATGTTTTTGTGTATTTTAATACTATAAAAAACCTATAGGTTATAGTATTCTGTCAGATGGTACATTTCTATCTCCTTCCTGGGACATTATTTTTTTATTTATGTTTATTTATCTTTGAGAGAAAGAGAAACAGAGCATGAGCTGGGGGAGGGGCAGAGAGAGGGAAACACAGAAACCAAAGCAGGCTCCAGGCTCTGAGCTGTCAGCACAGAGCCTGACGCAGGGCCCGAACCCACCAAACATGAGATCAAGACCTGAGCCAAAGTCACTCAACCAACTGAGCCACCCAGGTGCCCCCTTCCTGGGACATTATTATTGAAGGAAATAGCCTTAAAAATTAGTTACAATTTGATCACAACATTGTTTATAAATATATTAACATATTATAAAATTGTGGCTTTGTGTAAAATATCATCTCCCCTGCAGAAAAAACATTTTTAGCAATGCAAGTACAAAATGTGTTTATAGCTAGAAATCACATGTGAATCATTATAGAAACAATTTCAAATGTGGAGGCTGAAAATGAGGCTCTAATTTTATTAAATAATAAAAATATGATTATCTGTAATGAGACACTTATGGAATTAGTATTAAAATACAAATTCCACAAATAAAAAATTCTTTAATACCAATGAATAGCCTTGTTTTCTTTCAAGGTTGAACCAAGATATATGACTAGCAGTAATCATTGTAAGAACTGAAGCAATTGTTTCATTATACTGCACATTATTTAGGAAAATTGAAACATTTATTTTGCCCTATGTGATTATATGAGAAATGGTAAAGAAAGCCACATAAAAATACATTTGAGCATGTGGATTATTTTTTCATACCAGCAAATGACTGCCACACTAGGCATACCTGAGAGAGAGGTTACCTATTCCTTACATGACCATTACTGCTAAATAGGGATTCTCAGTTTTTATATAGTGAGTTTTAATTACTTCCGTGAATTATTTCACAGATAATTCTACCCTAAATGCAAGCTGAATTTTTAATTTTCATTTTGGAATATAGGTTTGAATTTTAAGTAATATACATTTGTACAAATTTCAAAGGTGTTTTCATATGTACTCTTGAGGCTACTATAACCCAGTGAGTTTAGCAGGATCTAGAGATATTATCTCTATTTTGCTGATAAGAAAGCAAGACTTACAGAGATTAAGTAAATTGTTCAAGTATCTTGCCTAAGGACAGATATAGCTCTAGAGTTCTTGTCTTATTTGAATATAATGTTGTTTCTCTTCTACCATCATTTCCATATCTGACGTTTGTCCTCAGACAAAAAATAAAAATTATGATGTCACCCTGTTAAATTTCATCTTTGGAAGTTCAGGTAGGTTGAATAGTGGCACCCCAAAGATATCGCATGCCAATGCCTGGAACTTGTGTTACCTCATAAGGAAAAAAGTTCTCTACAGATGTGATTAACTTCAGGTTCTTGAGACGGGGAGATTATCTTGTATTAACCAGGTGTAACCCATATCCAATCACAAGTGTCCCATATAACATGCTTACAAGCGAGGCAGAGGGAGATGACACAGACAGAAGAGTAGAAGACAGGACAGAGGAGAAAGCAGGGTGACCAGAAACACGGAGATTGGAGTGATGTGGTCAACAAGCTAAGGAATGCCAACGGCCACCAAAAATTGGAAGAGGGAGGCAAGGAACGGATTCTTCCTCAGAGCCATCAAAGGGACAGTAGTCCTGCAGACACCTAGATTTCAGACCAATAAAACTGATGTTTGAACTTCTGATCTCCAGAGTTGCAAGAGAATAAATTTCTCTTATTTTAGACTACCAAGGTTGTAGTAACTTGTTACAGCAGCTCTTAGAAACTAATACTTATTGTTCAAGTTTTTCTATTCCCTGTTCAACTCTGAGCAATTGACATAAACCTCTATTTTGGGAGAGATGGATTTGGAGGAACCCAAAGTTTGTTCATGAAAACCTTCCAGAAGACAGAATGGTTAAAATGTTAAGGTTTCCAAGAATGTCTCAATTTCTCTTCTCTGAAAATTAATACGAAATGTTGACAAAAATTTAAAAGAAATATTTAAATGAAATAGATGTTAATTCAGGTGAAAACATTCCTTTCACTAACAAACTGAAATATACCGTATCTGCCTAAGAAAAACTGGGAGCTTATTGTGTTATTTGAATGACAAAAACTCAGAATTTCATAGTAAACACATTTTTTTTTCCTTCATAGGAAGTATATTGGAGCTATCATGTCTGGAAGTGTGTTTACAACCTAATTTCAACTATTCACTCCCCTCTTTAAATTTTTCTTTTGTGACTTTTCTGAAACCAATAAGAGAAACTCAGACTATTATGGGAATCTTTCTAAACCACTCCAACTTTCAAAACTTCCCCAGAATTTGCCAAGGCATCATGAATGAATTTCAAATGTGCTCCTCGTGTTTGGCTTGTGAGTCCACAAAACTCATGGATTTTATTTCTCGGGAACAAACATCTAAAGGCAAGTGTAAAGGGAAAGGGATAATAAAATGTTTCAAGGATAAATCACTTTATTCTGTTAAAAAAGTAATAATACATTCCATTTTAAATCCATTGGTGTGGGAACAATCAGCAGTGTGACTCTTGATGAGTGACTTGCAGGGCTTGGGGACATTATTTGTTCTTGGCTTACTTTACCAAACCAAAATATCAATTCTTAAAATACATCACAATGCCACCATAATTTGTGTATATTTGATAATTAAAAGATTATTTGGCATGCTTTCTTCAAAGGTATTGAGGTTTTCAAAATTAAAAAAAATCTAAGCAAATCTATAGGTTCTTATAGTAAATTCAAACTTTGATTTCTTGAAGAGTCTTTAAATCCTAGGCCTACCTAACATTTATCCACTGAATATGAATTGTCTTTTTACTTATCTAACTATCCAGTGAGCCTCTTGATCCTGGAGACTTTGTCTTTGTTCACTATATTTCTAGATCTTAGCAGAATGCCTAACATTAGGTGCTTAATAAATATTTGTATAAAGAATGAAAAAATAAAAGAATAACTGTATTATGTATGATGTTTGATGGAATCTCACATCTATTTTGAGATGATATAAATTATTTAATTAAATCAAATCAACTTGCATCATTGAGAAATTAAAGAATTCATTTGTAGTCATAAAATACACTAGTGGCCTCAGGCCCAAGCATCAAATTTATTATTTATACCTATTCAGTGAGATTGCTGCCTGTATCACTCCATACTGGCGTGTTTTTCTCCCTATACATTCAGAATAGGAATGAGATTTCTTGGTATTGACTTTGGATGAAGTATAAAAGAGGTATCTTTTTCTGGGTTCTTATTCAAGTAGTGCTGTAACTATTGCAGGGTTCTAGGTCAACTTCATCAGGAAGCAAGCTGGGAAAATAACTTTACGGTGCTAGAGAACTAAGAAGTGTTTTAACGTTTGGTAACTCACATATGCTACCTCTCTGCCTCCTTGAAATGCAAAACAGTGCATCGATAAGTTATCCCAGTTGCTATGGCTGTGTAACATTTTACCTCAAAACTCAGTGGTTTAGAACAACAGCAATCATTTTATTCTTTTCCTTTCTCTCTTTTCCTTGCATTCTTTCTTTTCTTTCCCTTTCTTTCTTCACCCCCCACCCCGCATCCCTCTCCTTTTCCTCCTCCTCCTCCTTCTACTTTTTCTCTGGCTGACCAGGGATTCTAAAATGGGCAGAGCTGGGCATTTCTGTCTTGGAACATTATAATCTGTCCCGCAAATCATCAGGGACATGTTTGTATTTTCTTTGAGATGTCCCAATTCTCTTTCAGCCCAAATGTCACTTGTTTTTCACAATCGTAAAGAAAGTAAGCACTTGAATCATTATTTTTAGTTCAGGGGGCTTCTCATTTCTACTTTGTTTATAGAGGAAGGAAGGGATTTAGTTTTGAGTGCTGTGTGTTTTCTTACTACGTATTACTATTTTGCAAATAACATTTTCTTAATCTCTTCCTAGTTCTTATCATGAAAGGATCCACGGAAGTGAAGGCAAATGACTTCCACTCACCTTGTCTACATTTTAACTTCACTGTAGCTCCTACAGTTGACTACTTGGAAGAATATAACATTACATGTAATCTTAAAACCCGCACCAGAAAGTCAGCAAGTGTGGAAGAAGATCCAAACGAGGAAAAGTCTATGAACCATACCTGTAGGATTATGGAATACCTGAATAATTGTACACACGTTTCTCTGCACCTAGAAATGGACGTCAAAAGTATGTATTTAAGGAAGTTACAGGGCAAAGAGAATTGGATACAAACTTAAATAAAGGCTAACACATTAACTTCACTAAAAGTTAAATAGCTGAAGAATTTTGTTGGTGAAATAATATGACTGGAAAAAATTTAGTCCTTTTATCTGTTTTTTGTTTTGTTTTGTTTTGTTTTGTTTTGTTGCTTTTCATGGGGTCAAGCTGTATCCAGAGGCTGAGGAGACATTTGTGGGTTGTGATTTCTGAGGTCCTAGAAAGACATCAGAGTAACTTTGGACATGCCTATTAGCTGTGCTTGAAGGAACACTACCACAACTAGGTATTAAAGGGTGAAGTTTATTTTTTTAATTTTTTGATATTTATTTATTTTAGAGAGAGAAAGAGAGAGACATAGTGTGAGCAGGGAAGGGGCAGAGAGAGAGGGAGACACAGAATCTGAAGCAGACTCCAGGCTCTGAGCTGTCAGCACAGAGCCCGATGTGGGGCATGAACCCACAAACTGCAAGATCATGACCTGAGCTGAAGTTGGATGCTTAACCGACCTAGCCACCCAGGCGCCCCTGAAATTTATTTTTAAATGTAAACATTTATGTACATTGTGATGGGCTATGAATATCTTATTTTGAATTGACTCAACATGTCTTCTCCTAAAGTTGAGAACGAGGAGTGAATGAAATTGGATTTTTCTTTTTTTTTTTTCCATTTATAGTTGTTGCTGTAACATCTTTTTCTTTTTTTTACAAATAGTTTATTGTCAAATTAGTTTCCACATAACACTCAGTGCTCATCCCCAA